AATTGTAACGCTCTAAATTTTTTGCACATTTACTATTCATTATAGATCAAAAAATATCGTTTTATTATTGTTGATCAGTCCTTAAATTTTTACGATTTCCTGTAAGTTGCGATAGGTACGAACTTGACTATGGGTTAATTCTCACATTTTTCAAGTTTCTGTCTTATACTTTCTGAAAAACTATTTGGCCTGGTTGTTTTACCATCAAAATATCCGACTAAATATTTTGTAAGCAATTCGTTAATATGTGTGACCTGGTACTTACTCCACGGATCCGCGGCCCTTGTCGGCCACGTATGTCCCTTCGTCGTCGGTCCGTCCGTCCTCCAACCGTCCTCTCGGTACCTATATCGAATAATAGAACAAGGGCTCGGGCTAATTTACACAATAATTGATAACAGCGTTATTATGCTACTAAAACGATTTATTATCATACGGCCGTTACACGGCCAGAGTGGCCCGAGGACTTGTCGCTGTTTTCGCGTATCGGTGCATCAAGTGCGAGGCTTAGAAGGACAAGGAACATATAAGCAGCTCTCGGCCCGACTCACCACCTCTCCACGTCTGCACCCTGTCGCCTGGATGGTAACCTGTCCTCCTGGAACAAGACAACGGTTGGTAAGCTCGGATGCCTTGTCGTTCTCTCTTGCCGTAGTGATGACCGGCTCCCTCGTTCGGCCGCCGAAATATACACACACTCTTTATGCACTCGAGCTCTCGTCGAGCCGGCCACACTCCTCACGAAGAGGGCTTAGGGTGATCTCACCCGTGGAGCTCGACCAAGAGTCGACTTAAGCATCCAGAGGGTCACCCTGGACGTCGCGCTCACACACACTGCGTAATCTTACACACACCGTACTCTCACACACGATTTACACAAAGTCGATACTCTCGCGTACACACTGTACGATCGTACGATCTTGCCGATTCGTAGGCAACTGACTTGTCCTTTCTCACACGACGTGTTGACAAGCTGTCAACTGTCTTCTCTCCATCGATCGTCGCGCTTGCATGAAAAACATAAATACGACAATCAGATTCTTTCGTATAATCAAATTATCATTGGTTCATATCACACGGTGTATATGTATGTGTGTGTGTGCGCGCGCGTATTAAGGTTTTTGATCGGTATTGGTTGGCAAGAGCGAACAACATACGTTTGCACGTACCGAATTGACACAGATTCGAGTACACGAGCACTGACAGCGAGACTGTAGCAGACGGGATTTTGATAGGAGCGTGAGACACGAGGATAATTATTGTCGCGCGCGAATATAAGGCGAACGCGTGAAACAATAGATAGTCGTTTGCGGGCGTGGGACGTGCATCGCGAGCGCGTGACGCCGATTGAAAAAGTAATTACGTTGCTACGGAGTACATCTGATTGTACGAGTGTGCGTACACACGAGTATTAAGCCGAAAGGGAAATCGGATGTACTGTGCGACAGCGCTAAGCGTGGCAACGCATCGTATAACGTGTGTAATTTTCGTTTTCTGGTAAACGGTCAGCAAATATAAGCCGATGCCAGTAGTAACACGCGCACAAATGGAGCGCTATAAGGAACGAATGCAGATGCTTCTGCAAAATGTGACCGCAAGAGGCATGTGGTCCAAGGTCGGGGAAATGCCGGCCGAAGACATGTTGGCTTCGCTCAGGGACAAGAGATTGAGTGATCAAGGTGGCGAACAGATCTGCCGTGAGAGGCTGTTTCGAGCGCGATTGAGGCGTTTGCCAGCTACGATGTCCCGTGGGACGTGAATCTTGACGATCTCCCAGATCAAACGTCGTCGAACGAGAGCCTGCTCGATCAAACGATGGTCGAGACCCCGGACGACGGAGCCAAGAAGCCAGTGCAGGTCCCCGACACAGAGAGAGCGATGTTCGGGGACGACCTCGAGGCGCGGCTGATGAGTATGACTCGGAGGCCGTACGCCGTGAGGTAAATAGGGCGCTCGGTGAACGAGCTAAGCCACCCGTGGACGCGGCAGGTGCCGAGGTGTTCGGCGCCTTGAATAATACAGGGCTAAAAAACCTGCCGACAGAGGGTGGGTGCCTAGGTAAGCCGCCACGAAATAGCCAGGCGCCGGTCAAGGCTCCACGCAAAATGGTGCTTGGCCGGCGGTCTGCGGAGTCACGAACGTCGTAGACGCCATGGGACGCAGGAGCGATGATGGGACTGCCCCGTGGGACGGTACAGCACCATGATGGCTCGAGTGACGGCGAAGATCTTGCTGGCGCGCAGGAGCACGTAAGGTGGGACGATGTGCATCAAAATGTGAAACGCGAAGATAGCAGCAACAGTGGAAGTACGTTCGATTGATTCGAGAGACCAGCCTGAGATTCTCGGGCGCCAATGACGAGATCGGTGCCGAGACATTTTTAAGCCGACTCGAACGATACCGACGCCGAGGAGGTATACCGACCGACGACCTGCTTTTCGCGTTCGAGGCGGTACTCGTAGATGAGGCCGCGGTCTGGTATGAGTCGGTGGAGCACAAGGTCAAGACTTGGCAGGATTTTGAGCGTCATTTTCGGCGAAGCTTTGCGAGTCAAGCTACGACCGAAGAGCTTTTGACAGAGCTTCGTCAGCGAACGCAGGAAAAAGGAGAGCCGATTTCCACGTATCTGAATAATTTCAGGTTCTTGTGCAGTCGTTTTCGCGTCCCGTTGCCGTACGAGAACCAGCTGGCGATCGCGTTTAGAGGTATAAGGCCCGAATACCGAAATTTTATGGCGCATCGGCAAATTACGAGCTTCAGTGAGTTGGAGTAGGCCGGCAAACAATTCGAGAGCGTGAATCGAATGAACGCGTATTGGCACGAGCCAATAGTAAGCGCGAGTCAGCACTATCCAAGTGCTGCGTATAAGCCGGCAGAGCGGAGTCAATTGGCGGCAGTGCAGACAGATCAGCCGAACGACAAGAGCTCGCCGAAGAAAGAAAAGGAGAAGAAGAAGAAGCAAAAATCGCCGGTGACACCTAAAAAAGCGTCCAAGAACTCGGTCGCAGCATCAGAGAGAGTGCGATCGAGGCCGCAAGGGGCTCGCTCATCACACAGGGCTCGCCGGGCCGCCGAGCATCTGATGCACTCACTGCATCACATATGTAATATACATACAATCCACAGCAGTCGTCAGTTAACAGCCTATTCTATTCTTCATACAATACTTTGGCAAATTTCCACGTTTACTTTAGTTCCATCACAAACACTTACCGTGAAACAGTTCGAGCTGATTTGAATTTAAGATATGAGTGATTCCTACGGATTTAGATCGATACAGCGTCTCTTTTTTATAACGATGCGCATTGAAGTTTTTCTTTATTAAAAAAAATTCTTATGAAAACCTCAGGGTTTACATCTTAATTTTTTTAATACAAATAAAAATACCCTGTAAAATACACTTCTATTTTTTATTAAAAGGTTAAAAAAATAAAGTCCGTGATAACTCAGATCTGTAAGTATTGATGAGGTGAAGTTAAGAAATAACAAAAGGATTTTAATGCAGCGATTGTAATAGTTATTACGTGAACTTTTGCGAGGTTGGAAGCAGACTCATAAGTATATTAGCCATCAAAACAGCGCGCGCTCCGCGCTCTCTCAACTCATCTTTCATTTCATAACTCGATGACGCCTCGTATGGGAAATTAATCAAAAAGCTCAACTCACAGTCAATACTCAATGTACAACAAACTGATTCATTCTGCAGTGCCACTCTCTTAACCAACCAGAACGCTTATGAAATGCGGACACTTTTAGCTGATCCTTTTTCTTCAAGAGAATAAGTTTAATCACGTCTGGTGCCTTTTCGCAGTTTTGTTATTTATATAATTCCCGCTAATATTAATTGCTATTAATTGAAATTTAAAATATTAACTGAAAGTAAGACAGGTGGTGTCATAAATAGATCATAAAAGTTATGAATCTAAGTGCCTTCATGAGTAGCTTCTTGAATACCGTGTTCTACCAAAAATATGCCGTACGCCAATAATGAGCCGTGATCGAATTTTCGAGTCTTAAAAGAATATAAGGTATATTCTTAGAATAAGGTGAGCTTTGCAAAATAATTTTTTATCAATAAGTATACAAAACTTGATGTTAATTGAGTCAGCACAGTCATGAAATCAAATACCAAACTTGTAGCATTTTGCAAAGAAAAGTATTTAGAATACCGTTTGGTGTAACATGAACAGTAAATTTTAGTCTAGCTATCAGAACAGAATAGGGACACGGTAAGGATGATATTTTAACAGTATACGAATAATATAAGTCATGTTCCAAAAATAAGGCGTATCTGTTTTTTTTTTTTGCAAAAAAAATATAAGGCATGGCATATTTTAGGTAGAACACTGGCTTGAGATGCAATTGTGTCCTGGTGCTTTTTTTCTTCAGTTTTTTCACAATTAACGATATAAGTGACATAAGTAACGATGCACGAGTATCTCACGCAATTTTATTGTGCTAAACATCAGAAAGTAAAAAATGATATTACTTTACGTTACGAGGGCTATAAGTTACATTTTACGGCATGGCATGGATGGTCTTAAAAACCGTACAGGAAAGTGTCCCCAATTGCACGAGTATCGTATGACATTTCATAGTACTATATACTAACTTCACATTTATGTCCCCTTTTGCAATGCATAAGTTGCCCTTTCTAGCTCTTCGGCGTTTGTATCACACTCACATACGCTCGTGTGATAACCTCACTTCGTGTTACCAGAAAGGGCGACTTGTGCCACCGAAAAGCGTGCCAAATGTAAACTTATGCCACGTAGTGCTATAAAATTTATTTAGTAAACCTTTTTAAACTGCACATTTATTAGTGTACTTCTTACATTCTGTAATAATTATATTCAGGCAGTATTCAAAAGCAAGAGTCTTTAGAAGAAAGTGTTCAAATGGATACCCCTCCCAGAAGTCCAGTGGAAATGCCTATGAGTGATGAGATTTCAGAAATAAAAAGTTCCAAAACTGTAATGAATAAACGTTCCGATATGACTCCGAAGCAGAAGTGGCACATAGCATTTAGCAAAATCGTTATGCAATTAAACGTAAGTTAATTTATTTATTCAATAATATTTTTAAAATTCAATGAGAGTGCCTACCTTCATAAAGAACTGAATATTTTATTAGAATTTCATTAGATAAATAATGTTGACAGTAGTTAAAAATGTATAAATCTTCATTCGTCATTGAAGCTACCGATGTAAAATTAATAATTCCTCCAAACATCGTGTTAGAACGGGTAAATTTATATAAGAATGTGCGTATGGAATACAATCATTAATGTGTATGTATGTAGCGGTGATTGACCAGTACATGTCTACGTTGTCACCGAGCTGCTATTTACCTCTCAGTACTAATTAACCTCTATCTAATTTTCTTAGTCACTTGTTCGTCGACAGTCAAACCAACATGTATCGAGGAGCGCGAGACAAGTATGACAGGAACTAAGTGATGACACTCCGCTACTCATATACTCATTTATACATTTGAATAAATATTATTATTTTGATGAAAACAATCGTAGATTTATTTAGTTTTACACATATAATTAACACATCGTTGTTAAAAATTTATTTAATTGTTAATAAATTAAGCTTAAAAATGGCTATCCAGATCTATTGTATCATAATCTCTTTTGTTTACTACTTTTATTAGCGGGTATGTGAACAATCCGAAAGAATCTCGCGTTGAAAAATTTTTAGTAACAGTATATTCAGAATTTAACAGTTATCGATAATAATAGACTACAGTCACATCTGTAAAATTGAGGTTATTTGTTTCTTGTACTCTATGTGTCAATTGCAATTTGGGATCGTCATAATTATTATTTCAATTTAAATGCTTAGATTCATGTCGACTATTTCATTCGAGAGGACCTCTTTTATATTTACAGTGTATTCTCCAGACGAAAATCCGAAAATGATATCGCCTCTATTCGTGGATTTGAGGATGAAAGATGTGGAGAAAATATGTTTATTGACTATTAGGTCAAAGAGTCATGAACAATTAATTCATAACCGAATTTTCACCTTTGTTTAAGTAGTTTTTAATATTAGTTAATGGATTAACAAAATTAGGTTAAGGTTGCTTGTTTGCATAACACTCTGCTTTTTTAGGAACTTAACCATGATCGCGAGCTTGATTTGTTTAGCTGTGTTCCGTGAAAGTGCATTAAAGATATCAACAGACTTCAATAATGAAAAATGTTGGGCTACTGAGCTTCACTGGAGCGTCAACTGTAGCTGCTCATTTGAAGACCTACCTTCTTACTACACAGTTCATTACAACAACTACAAGGTACATATTTATGTAGAATATATAATTTTTTTCACTCAATATAAATTCTACTGTATGTTTCATCAATAACGCAGCGACAAATTTCTTACTTGAATAAGTGCAGGTTGTGAGTTGTGTTGTATTTAACTAAATAACATAAATAAGTAGCTATTAATGACACACAGTGGTTAGAAATTCAAGCATAGCTAGCGTCCTAATAGCAGTGCCGAAAAGTGTCCTGTATATAAACTGAGCATCTTACGAGATATTATTGTAAAATACGAGCTAAGTTCGTATTTTTGCCCTTTTTTCTAAGATATAAGTAACACTTTTTTGCTAGTCGCAATGTCACGCCATAAAATAGAATAAGCTCAAAAGCGCAGTAAGTGCCATAAGAACGAGGAGATGTCATAAAGTATGACTTACTATACTACAAAAAAACAAACCATGATTATAAACTTAACCTAATACGTGATTTTCCATTATGTGGATAAGAAATGTGATCTACAAAATTCATAAATAAGCGTTGTTAGATTTACTGAATAATCCACAGATTTAAAGTAATATGTCACAGACTCAAAGTGTCTATCGTTTAGAATTTGCCTTATTTTTAAGTGTAAATTAGGTATTCATGGACTTTAAACTTAAAGTTATCACATTTCGAATTGGTGAAATAACATTTTAAAAATTCAAAATGACATGTTCTGAAATATGAAAAAAAAGGAAAAACCTTTCAGAAATTCAACTAAAAAATAATGAGCTGAAGGAAAAAATTCGAAAATTTTTTATTCGAAAATTTCATTTAATTTTTTTTTATTTTTTACAAAGCTTGTACACGAATTTCGTTGATTTCATGTACATCGCCCTCAATCAATAGATGTATAATCAGTGAGTCTAATCTTATAAAAAACATTATACACACTGTAGTATACCTATAGCTACTATAAATATAGATATACAAACACTTCAACCTCTTCTGATAGACAACAAGAACCCGCAATTGAAAAAATTTTTTTTTTTTGCATTTATTTGGTATTCTCTTATCCTGAATACAATAATTGTACATAAAAATATTGATTGCAATACTTACTGATGTTTATGTGGAATTCTCTAAAACTTTTAGTTTTTCGACAAAAAAAATAAATAGAAATTTTCTCATGGCACACGTATGGGATATGAAATTTCTTAAACATTTTCACCTGGAAAAAAGAAATAACATCGCGCTCACGATAAGGGCTGTAGGGTGCCTTCAAAAATGAGGGTTAAAGACATTTTAATTTTTTTTTCTTATTTTCATGTATATTGTAAGTACTTAAATATAATAAACACTTTAAAAACTTTCAATCAACATAAAATAATAATTTATAACAATAATCAATCCTCTTGTCTTAACAAATAACACTAGTTGTTCAAATAATTTTGAATTACAAATAATTTAACGAGATTACAAAGCCAGGCTAAGCCGATTTTTTTGAAGCTCATTTTTTAAGATAAATATTTTTCCCTAAAAACTACATTAACTGGAAAACAGCCTAAACATATTCACGTAGCTGTGTAGAAAAATATTAGGGAATCTCAAAAAATATGTTTGAAAATAATCGGTTCAGGTGGAATTTATTAATTCCTCAAAAATCATGCTGAAAGTATTGGATTGAAGTAATTTGTTTTTATTTAAAAAAAAATTTATTTAAAAAAATTATTTAATAAAACAAACGAAAATTTAAAAAAAAAAATTAATTATCAAAAATATTTATTAAAAATAAAAATTATTTAGCAAAAAAATTTTATTTTTATTTTCATACAACGACGAGTGAAAACGTTGATTATAATATACACTAACTCTTCCGTGAAATTGGATGAATCTCTGACAAAAAAATTATTTTACTTAATCTATTTCCAAGCGATTAAGGGCAAAATAAATTTCAGCCCTTGCGTAAAAATGTTCTAAATAACCCAAATTTGAAAGACCTTAGGGTACAGAGTCGGTTCATGTCCAGTTTAGAGTGTGCCATAAAAAAATGTCATTTCTTTGGTTCGTGAGCCCAACATATGTGCGGTCTTCAATCCGGTCCAAAGGGGCACAAGGGTTTTTGATAACGAAATCGATTCGTAGAGCTTCATGCCTCTCGATTTGGGTGGAGAAATATTAAACGGTGCTACTCGGCATTCATTTCAATTTTTAAAACTGAATTTTATAATAATCTAGTTCCCATTATTAAATTGAGGATTCTGAGTCTTGGGGTAAGGGTATCACTCAGAAACAATAATTTTTAAATAAAATAACCCAAACACACTCTGAAAAAAAATTCAAAGCGCTGGGGACACCGGTGTTTTTTATATAGAACTACGAAATTATAAATTTACTGAAGTTCCTTTTTGAAATCTCATTAGAACATGTAAAAATACTCTTATAGTTTACCATACTCCACGTTATATAATCGAGTTTTAAGCACGTGCTTAATAACCTTTAATATTATAATTATAGTCACAGATATTGTCGCAATAATTACAATTCAAGATCCACATCGGTTTCTTTAATATTAAAGGTTTGTGAGGATTCCACTTATATGTTCATGTACATGCGGGATGCGGCTAAAGTATGGATACACCTGGAAATTTCCTGGAAAAAGCGCACGAAAAAAATCGACGTATTTTTTGACGAGGAATCTAATGGTGACCTTGAATTTAACCTTGAACATAACCATCAAGCTCCAGTGACCCAAAAATCGATTTTTCAAATGGAAATCCCCATTTTTTATAACAGATTTGAAAAGAGCAAAAAATTTTACTTTCAAATATGTATTTTGTTTTTTTTTTTAAGGTCATTTTGGAGGCGGTACAATTAGAAAAAAAGCCCTTACTGGAACTTAATTTTAGGTTAAATCGGGGTTTTATTTGCGTCTGTAATGCATGTATTGCCTTTAATTAATTGAACAATAATTTTATTAATAATTAAAATGTTTATTAATAATTAGGTTTCTGATAATGTGAATTTAAATTGATTCAACAACTTTTATCATTAAGATTTATTATAAAATTTTAATTAATAATAAACTTATTGTTTAATAAATTAGAGGCAATACAGTCACTTCAGATCTGACAATAGATCTGATGTCAGATCTGATATAAGTTCTGATGTCGATTATCGAATACAAGATCTGGTATCAGATCTGATGTAAGATCTGGCGTACATTTGTCAGATCTTATACCATATCTGATGCCAGATCTGGAGTCAGATCTTACATACTATTTTCACCTGGGAAATATATACAGAAAGGTACTTTACTTGTATTCACGTGTGATATAATAACTGCATTTAACGATACAGACGATGGGTCATTGGAGATTATATTATAACAAGAATATTAAATACAAAAGTTATAAGCGTTTATTAAAAAGACGAATGCTTATCAAATCCACGATATTTAAAAAATTTTTTAGGAGAAATCATTTTAGTTAGGGAATTACATATAGTTTTGATTTACTTGCTGTTTTATTACAACAAAAATCTTCAAACTATTCATGTTATATTACATTTAAGAACCTTGTAAATTCATAGTTATAAACTAAATCTTCTAAAATATAAATAATGTTTAATATACAATGGATAATAAAAAATAAACTTAAAACAAGAATTCATACTTTTTTATTATAATAAATGAATGCAAAATGAAATTATATTCATCAAATTTTCTAATTTTTGAAAACTATTGACTATTTTTAACAGAAGAAAAGTCAGCATTGATTTTTAAAAACTTTGTGAATAAAAATTGAATTAATTAACTGTGATTTCCTAAATTATCCTCATAGATTTATAGCCTAAAATCCACATTAAATCTACGGGAAATCTACGATAAATGTATACGTTGGAACTAAGAGAATTTTTATCAAACATGTTTCATGTAAGAAATTATTTCATAATGTAAGAAAGATTCTTAATGACAGTAAAATAATAAAATTTTTACTTTATAAATAAAAATGTTTTCACACTGAACAACAAAAAATATAAAATTGACTGAAAAATACTTTTAACTTTAAATTTTTTTCTACATTCACATTTTTCATTTAAATTATTTTGCAATTTTTAGCAACGGAATATTGTCATAGTATTGGATTGGTTTAATGAAATTTTTTCTTCCTTAAAAATATTTTTTTCGTAAAGTAAATCAAAAGTTTTATATCTTACAATTATTTGAGGGGAGATATGGAATATCATATAGGGGTGCTGTTTGGACTTAAGGGAAGGGATATAGTGATAGAAGATCTACACGTTGCTGCTCATACCGGCAGTAGTAACTGTTCTGAATTCTTCAGATATACACAGAGCTTGCAAGTTCGATGCATACTTTTTCTTTCGTGAAATATTTTAATTTAATCATTCACAAAAATTAAAATAAATTTACATCTCGAATAAAATTGTTGTAGATTATATTATTACAATATTATCTTGAATAAAATTAAAATCTTGGAATTTTAATTTTTTATTGAAAAGTTTATAGGACTTGATTCTGTATAATATTCTTTCCATTAGCAACAGATTAAATCAAGAAAAATTTGAAAAATGTGACTTTTAAAAGTCAAAAATTATTCGTTGGGATGAAATAATTTAGCGTGAAGTACAATTTCATACGTTTTTTTTTGGTTTTTCCATGAGCAGGATTTAAATTGAACTTAGTAATCAATAGCATTATAAATAATAGAATCATGAAAAAATTACAGTTTATCAAATAAACAAGATAAAAAAAATGAAAGAGTAAAAAATAGTATAACGTGGGGTAAGTAGTTTAAATTTCGTGTTAAGAAGATATGAATTTTGATGAATTATAAGTGGTAGATATGTAAAGCTTTAATAATTCTGATTTCAAACATTAAACTAAATTTCTCTTCGAAAATGATTTAAAAATTTTATTAAAAACAATAGCACTTTATCGTGGAAAAAAAATAAACTTATTATTATTATTTGATATTTCAAGTCACATTATCAATGATAAGACTGTAATTGTATCAAAACTTGTTTCCGA